TTTTTTTGGTTTTTCTCCGGTACCGGGAACCGAACTCACGACCTTGCGCATGCCAGGCAGGCGCTTTTGCCGCTGAGCTAAATCCCCAGCCCGCCTACCCTCCAACTCTTGATCCCCTTCTCATTTGAGAAAGATCTCTCTCCATACTTTTTATTATCTTCTATTCTGCTGTTCATTGAAAATCTGGGTTTGTCCTAATAGAGAAACCACACAATGATCAAGCTCATGTATCTAATTTATTTCACTTAACATCACAGTGTCATGCTGCATCCACGTCCCCAAACATGACAAATTTATCTGTATCTCTGAATAAGTATTTTAATTAATTGTCGATACAGTTTTGCTACAAACACAGTACATATGTTAATGCCTTAAACGTTATGCAATATTTCCTCCTCATCCATGAGGTTCACACTCATAAAAGAATCCAGTAGTGGAAGAATTACCATTCAAAAGTTTAAGAATTTCCAAAAAACAGATCTGTAATTCCTCACAGAGGAAGACGGGAGAGAGAGACAGAGAGATGAGGAAAACATGAGAACTGGCTCACTGGGACTGAGCTACAGGCAGCCACTGGAGGCTGGAAAAGACAGCTACCAAAGAAAACTTCCTGTTTATTTCCTTTTTCTGTATTTTTCATTTTGTTCTGGCTTTTAAAAAAAAAATAACTAAAAGGCTTGCATATGATAGTGTTCACTTGTTTAGCTGGGCTGTTGCACTCCTGAAATCCCAGCCACTTGAGAGGCCGAGACAGAAGGATCATTAGTTTGAGATCAGCCTGGGCAACTTAGCAAGAACCTGTTATAAATACACATATACATACATACATACATATATACATAGTTAAATTTACATAATTAAATAGTTTTTAGCATTTCTAAAGTCCATTTAATCTAGTTTCAGAATATTTTCATCATTCCGAAAGGAAACCTCTTATACATAAGTGGTAATTCCTATTTCTCCCTTCCTAAAGTAACTAATAATGTATCCCTATAGACTTGCCTATTCTGTACATTTCTTCTTAATCACATATGTAACATATAATCTTTTGTGACTGGCTCATTCCCCTAATTTTTATGTTACTTGCTCAAAGTTATTTCCCAAAAGTGAAATGGATGCCAATACTCTACCAATGTAGGAATAAAACCATCACATCACTGACATTTCTCCAAATAATTTACGCAAATGTTTAGTATGCAATATTAAAAGTGCCTAAAATAATTAGCCATCAAAGAAATGCAAATAAATTTGTAGTGAGATACTGCCTTATCCCTGTAACAATGGAAATAACAGAAAAGAAGGGACAGAGCCATGTTAGCAAGAATGTGGAGAAATTGGAGTCTTTACATTGTTATTGGGACTGTTAAATGGTGGAAGAACTTTAGAAAATGATTCTGGCAGTTCCCAAAAATAGGTAGTCATGTAGTTACCATTAAAACCTGTACTTAAGTATACCCTATTCTCCAAAGAAATGAAAACCTACAGAAAAACTTGAACATCAATGATCATAGTAGCATTATTCATAAAAGCCAAAAAGTAGAAACAACTCAAATGCCCATCAACTCACGAATGGCAAATATAATGTGATTTATCTATGTAATGGAATATTACTGGGTTGTAAAAGCAAATAAATTGCTGATATGGGTTACAACATAGAAAAATTTTGCAAGGGTTATGCTAAGGGAAAGAAACCAGTAATAAAGATTACACATAATGGAGGAAAATGTATAACAAATGTTTAAATTAAAAATAATTATTATAATAAAAGATACATAACTATGAATCCTTCTCCAAATGCTTCCTCTTGCTTCAAACACGCTTGACCTATTCTTCTCGCCACTACCTGAAGCAGTGCCAGAAGTTCTTCTTTGCGTATTTATGTTTGAGCTTGAAAAGTACAGGGAGTGCTGCTGCTGAGTGCCATCGAACAAAAGGCAGGCTCATAAAGTTATTGTAGTGTGTTCTCGTCCACCTGAGATACCAGATCTGGCCCCGCACACCCTCCAACTCTTCCCCAAAGTCAAATTGACCATGAAAGGTAAATGTTTTGAATCAATTCAGGGTTTTGAGTCAGCCATGACAGCTCAACTAAACACATGAAAAAGATTGTCCAGAACTGCTTTTGAAAGTGGCAGGAACAACGGGTAATTGTGTTCAAAGTGATAAGAGAGCACTTCAGGTGGATTAATGACAATCTGCCTTGTACATTAACATTTTTTAATTTAAATATTCACTCTATGTTTATAACACTTGTATATTATATAATTCCATTATGTGATATATCCAGAATAACAGTCTATGAAGACAGAAAATAAATGAGTAGTCGTACAGAGCCAGGGAGATTCAGGCATTGGTGTCTCAGTTTTTTGACAGGTAATAAATACTCTAAAATTGTTATGAGCATGCAATTTTCTTTTCTGAGACGGGGTCTCACCGTGTAGCCCTGCTGGCCTCGAACTCACAGAAATCCTCCTGCATCAAACTTCTTAGTGCTGCATGAGTTCACAGTTCTGTGAATGAACTGCAAACCATTAAATTGCATACTTTCATTGAACAAGCTATATGAAAAGTGACTTATGTTTTGTAAAGCTACTTTTAAAAAACTCACAAGAGGAAAAACTAGACTTCTCTTTTCTGCAATAAATATATACGCCTGGTGAGGCAAAATAAAAATTGCGATATTTAAATTCAGATATAACATGGGTAAGAACTCCATCAAATAATCAGATGGCCAAAATAAAATAAGACATACACTGATGGTTGAAAACAGACTGGATCACGAAGTCTGCTTATTGTTGCTCAGTTTGATTCAAAGTGAGCACAGATACACTTGGGAATATCTGCTCATATCTAGCATTACAGAATCATTGGTCTATTTTATCTCTAAAAAGGCAGCTGGAAGCAGGTTCCTTTTCATCTGCAAGGAATATATAATTAC